TACAAAAGGGAAGTGCTCGTAAAGATACAGGCGCGTGAAGCTGGAGTGGAGCACCCTGGAGCGAGCACAGTTTGATGAAAGATCTGCAGGTTGGCTTGGTTTGCATGTCAAGGTGGAACGTTTACTTGACCAGACTAGAATCGTATGTGTGCTCTCAAGAGGGACAGAGCGCTCTTGACCAAAGAGGTGGATGGGACAGGAAGCGCAGGACCTTATTTCTTAGGCGGTAGTGAAGGTCTGGCTCATAAATGATAGCAGCCCGACTAAAAGCGTATGTCTATTTATATCTGTGCTTGACCATAGCCAACCTGAGTCGGTCCCGGGGAGACCTGGCGCAGGCTTACATTTACATACTCAACCCGGTGCCTCTGACACACAGATCGTCATCTTCACTTTTGGTGACCTTTGTTTTTCTATAGAAGAAGATCACATTCAACAGCCAAACTAACAACATTTACCAGCAGGAAGGCTTACTTTTTAATGAGTTTTTTTTCCCCATCAACTAGCCCATTTCAATAAGTTCCTGAACAAAACTGAGATAACACAATCTCATTTGAGACCCCTTGGCCTTCATGCCCATAGTATCTGAAGCTAATACTTTTCTTGTAAGATAAAGGTTTTCTTCAAAGGGAATAGGGTTAATTCTGAGACACTGACAATGCCTCCTTTCAGCTTAGCCCTGTTTGTTTTAAGATGACATCCCATTACTCAGTTCTTCAATAGTTTGGACTTCTTAAAACATAGAGTGGAATCTGATTTTTTTCTAATTTAGCTTTTTTATTGATTCTTTGTGGATTTCCCGTCATGCATCTCCATCCCACTCAACTCCCTGTCCCTTCCCATCCACCCTCTACCTTTGCAACCTCTCCCTCGGGATAAAACAAAATAAAATTTAAAAGAGAAGAATGAAGGAAACAAGGAAAACATCTTGTTGTGGAAACTGGAGTGTGACATGGTAAGGCACACAGTAGAGCCTGTGCTCCATATATCATTAATTGTAAGTGTTCATTGCATTGAGGTATTGGTCTAGTTCTAGGCCTCTGATTTTTTGCTACACTATATATTCTCAGCTCTCACTGAGGCTCCTCTTAGATATCCTGTTGTTGTCCTGTGTCATAAAGATCCTGAGACTGACCCCTTCATGTGCTCCATAGATAGGGTCGATAATGGGATGGGCCAACTCATAGCCCTGGTTCTGGGTCTGGGTGGTTGTTGGATTGGTCAGCCAAACAGCTGTCCCCCAATCCTCACCACCAGCACTGCTCTGGCTGCCTCACCCTATGTATTAGGCAGCAAGGGACAGGGTTGGTTCTCCATCTCTCATATCCTCCTGAGTGCTCCATCTGGTGAAGAGTGGGATCAGCTCTCTTGCCTACCACAGTCTCAAGAGGCAACGGGAAAAGCATCTTTCCCATGTCTTTCATGCCCTCACTACCACTTGACAGATAAGGGATGCATGGCCAGCTCTCCCACTCTCAGGTCCTCAGGGCAGGCTCACCTGAGCCCCTGGCAGCAAGATCAACATGACTAGGCTGCCTCGGAGATTGCAGGGTCTGAGCTTTTGAGTGCTGCAGTTGGTGAAGGACAGGGCCAACTTCCACTCATGTGACCCAGGAGCCAGCTCTCCCACATGCTACAGGTGGTGAAGGGTAGAGGTGTAGGGAGGACATTGTCCCCTTGCTCACACTGTCACATGGCAGATGAGGGTAGGGGCCAGATCCCTCATGCTCATTTTCTGTATGGACCCACCTGCACCCTGTCAGCAAAGATAGCTCTACTGGGCTGCTCTCCTGAGTACTGCATCTGATGAAGGACAGGGTCAGCTCTTTCATCCCCCACAGGTGACAAAAGGGGAAGAGGAGAGGGCATTTTTCTCTCACCCTTACCAACACATTAGACAAGGGGTGTGGGCCAGCTCTCCCAATTCCATGACCTCATGGCACACTCATTTGTGTGTGGTGATATATTGTTTATGACCTAATAAATCTTGCCTGGAGATCAGAATACAAAACTAGCCACAGCTATAAAGGCCAGGCAGTGTTGGCACACACCTTTAATCCTAGGACTCAGGAGACAGAGGCAGATGGATCTCTGTGAGTTCAAGGCCACCCTGGCCTAGGTGACAGTCAATCAGCCTAAAAAAGAAGCAGAGCTCACACAGAGGTGATCCCAGCACTTGGATCTCATGCCTTTAATCCCAGCACTAGGGAGGTCAGTGTCTCATGCTGTATTGTGGCAATTAGTCTCCAGGCACATTGAGATGAGGATCAAAATCAGCCCTGGTGGATGTAAGAGCTATCTGATAGCTTGGCTGCTTTTCTTCTCTGATCTTCAGCTTGAACCCCAATATCTGTCTCCGGATTTATATTATTCGTGTTATACCTGAGCTCCTGCCCACTGGGTCAGCAGTTCTCTGATGCCCAGGTGAGGTGCAAGGCCTACTCTCCCCAGTTCTGCAGTTGGTGAGGGACTTGGTCAGCTTTCCTGCCTGCCTGCCTGGGAAAGAGCAAGGGTGGGGGCATCTCTCCCTAACCCACACTGTCACATGTTAGACAGGGTAGGGCAGGACTATCTCTCTCACTCTCCTGCTCTCAGAGCCAGCCTACCCACACATCTTGGATCTCACAGCTGCCAACACAATCGGCTGTTGTGCAGCTCAGGCTAGGTTCAGGGACCCAATCTCTCCAGTGCTGCATGGGGGTCGGAGTAGAAGATCTCTCCATTGTGTTGTAACTACTAAGGTGTGGTTTCAACTCTTTGCATCCCTATCCCCTCAGCCTTCAGTGGTTAACAGGAGACGCAGACATCAACACAGTCCAAGGCTGCAGCACATTTGCTATTTGTTTGTTTATTTTTCAGTTTGACAAAAACTTCATTTTAAAGTTCTCTTTTATAGATCCAGGTTTCCAGAGTTGAAGAGTTTCGGAAAACATAAAAACAAGGATTACAGCTTTTATGAAATGTTTGCCTCAAAAGAAGAAGCTATACAAGAGCTTACACACACACACACACACACACACACTATTAAAGCCTTAACAAAATCAACACACACTAAAACACCTTGAAGTACTGCTCCTGTGTTATAGATGAGATAGTTCATCTTAGAACACAAGTTCATAATTTTGGCTGCACACTGGAAAGTTTGATACATTGCTTAAATATAGCTCTGCACCTCAGCCGCTCTGTGACAACTAAATAAGAATTAAAGCAGGTAGGACTCAGGCACTACCATCAGATAACTTCAATGTTCAGTCTGCCCGAATGAGTATTGCTTTTTGATACCTTATCCAAGGGCATTTGTAGGGAGACACTGTAGCCCTGCTTCCTAGGAGCCCCTACAGGTGTGCCTGGCCATGCCCGTGAGGACATGGTCAGGGGAGGTCAAGAGAGATGAAGGGGGGGGGGGGGGGGAGA